TTTTCCAACCTTAATAATGATTCTATGATACTATGATTCTATATCACATTCAAGTGACAAGGATTCCCCAAGTCTTTGGATTATCACATAAGTAAGAAGTGAGGATCGACTGTTATTTTAATTTAAAACACCAACTTAATACAGTTCTAAACGTCACATGTAACAAACTACGGGAACGTAATTGATTAGTTGCTCTTTCAATTCACATGGACCTAAAAGAGAAGCTAAAGGAACCCATACACTGTTACAGGGTACTCGCAGAATAGGTGAGGCTGGAAAGGATCTCTGCAGATCATACAGTCATAGAATCACGGAATGATTTGGGTTGGAAGGGACCTTAAAGATCTAGTTCCAACTCCCCTGCCATGGGCAGGGACACCTCCCACTAGCCAAGGTTGCTCAAAGCCTCATCCAGCCTGGCCTTGAACCCCTCCAGGGACGGGGCAAGCACTTGCTCAAAGCAGGGTCAACTAGAACAAGTTACCGAAGACACCACCCAGTCAGGTTTTTAATATCTCCAAACACTGACATTCCACAAGCTCTCTTGACAGCCTGCTCCCATGCTTCATCAACCTCACCATAAAATTCTTATGTTTCAGTTTAATTTCTTGCATTTCAGTCTGTGCCCATTGCCTCTCGTCTGTTCCCTGGATACCACTGAGAAGAGTCTGCCTTTGTCTTTTCTACACCCTCCCTTCAGGTATTTATAGACAAACCTTCTCTCCTCCAGGGTAAACATTCCTAGCCCTCAACCTCTCCTAGTGTGACAGATGGTCCGATTCTTTAATCATGTCCATGGCTCTCCGTTGGATTCACTGTAGTATGCCACGTTCTTCTTGTACTGCGGTGTCCAGAACCAGACACAACTCTAAAGGTGTGGTCTCACTAGTACTGAGTAGAGGGAAACAGGCATTTCCCTCGACTTACTGGCTCTTTAATTTCTAATGAAACCCAAGGATGCTATTGGCCTGCTTTGCCCAAAAGGCATACTGCTGGCTCATGTTCCACTCAGAGTCTACCCTCTGTCCTTTCCAGTGAACCTGCTCTCCAGCCAGTCAACTCCCCAGCCCGTACCAGTGAAGAATTGTTCCTCCCCAGGGGTAGCACTTGGCATTTCCCGTTACTGAACTCCATAAGGTGCCTGTCTGCCCATTTCTGCAGCCTGTCAAGATCCATCTGAACGACAGCACAACCATCTTGTCTGTCATCTCCCTTTCCCATATCTCCCTTTCCTTCCCAACAACAAAACAAATATTCCATATTTCTACCTTGGCTTCCATGCCTCCCATTCCCACCCGGGATTTTGTTCCAAATGTTACAGACTGCTGGTCTCCTGGGTAGAATATGTCAATGAGCTTTGCATCGTCAGATCCTGGAGGGCTGTCAAAGAGTCCTGAAATAAATAATAAAAATCTGTTAGAGTTATATACCCTCATCTCCAAAGCTCACATATGAAAAAAGGAAAAAAAAAAAAAAAACCATGAGGCTGAAAAGCTGTGTTCCACTTTACAGGATTGAAAACTTTCACTGAACCCTGCTTTTTGTGGGACTGAAAGCATGAAACCCTTAACAGGCAGGCTCAGGAAGTACAGCTTTACTGAAAGCGTAACGAATAAGAAACTGAAAACCCACATGCTGAATAGCTACACACAAGCTGGGACGTAGTGATATTTGGCTGCGGTTACAGAGAGTTTAACAGGTAAAGGATAGTCCTGCTCACCAAAATCTCTGATGATATTCTTGAATGCTGGGTTGTACAGTGATAAACTGGGCAATTCAGAAATATGTAAAAAGGGTAACTATGAAATTCTGCTAAGAAGAAACACCACAGAGACATACTCTTACTAATTTTTTTTAAAAGTCTAGTAATTTTATGGAACTATGTTTGGAGTCAGATGACGCTTTGGTTTACCTAACATGTCAAACCTAAACTCTACCACCACACTTTCCAGAAATTTTATGTGAACAGATACTGAATGGCACTACAAATTAGAGAGCACAAGTGTGGACTATCTGTGACCTTCCTTGATAGCCTGGGAAGGAGAGGACACACATCTTTCCATAAACAAGGTGTCATATAGAATGAATAAACTTGGAGGATGGCGGTGTTGGGTGTTAATTTTTTTACAAGTTGTTCTGAGTATTGCTTTTATGAGTTGTTCTCAGACAGTCATTTCAACTAGAATCAACCATGAAATCCAGCTGAATCTGCTAAAAGAAACTGCTATGGAAAGGCACCTCCTTCCTCCTCAAGACCTACAACATATGCCAAAGCCCGAGATCCATTGAAAGAAACCTGTCTGGAGAAGATGAAAAGACTATGTGACTTGGGTAATGCGGACTGCACTGATCTGAAACTGCACCCACTGCCCTCCTCTCTCTAGAAAAGGAACTTCAACATCCACAGGTGACAGACTTAGGTCACAGCAGCACAGCTCAGAAGACTAGAGCAGTGTAAGCCAAGTGTCTGAGAGACAGAAAAAGCTAGCAAGTTCCAGGTATCTGGAAGGCAATGACCAGGACTTGTAATGTACCTGTAATTCACTGAAAGACAGAACCCACTGCCAGAAGAAACAAACTACTGTAGAACAGCATTGGGCTTATACTCCCGATTCTGAACACACAGCCTTTATCCTGCACGTTACTCATGACTACACCATACCATTCTGAGAAGCCAGCAGAAGTACCCTGGTACACATGGTATTCTGAGTCCTGGAATAAGTCTCAAGCTCACATGCAGCCTCACCCACCCATACCCAACAGTGTGGCAGACAGTCTTGGGCTTCTGCAACAGCATCATCATTGGGTATATGCCTTAAGGAGATATGTTGTAATTGTTCCTGTAAAATATATGAACTGAAGAGATCATCAAAACCTCAAGATAGGTTGGCTTGACTATCTGATGTACTTCAATAAAACAAGAAAGTAAAGAAATGGCTCACAAACCTTCTACGTCTGAGAGAACAATCAGGAGATCAGTTTTCATTTCCACAGCCAATCGTGCTGCCAGACTGTCGTTATCCTTCACACTAATTACCTGCAATGCACATGCATATCAGCAGCACCAAAAAGCAGGGGGAACTAGAAAACACTTGGCTGCAATATACAAAAGCAAGTGACCTCAGCACTACTGAGTCCTTCTGAGCTACTTTGTTCACACCCACTGGAAACTTGGAAGGTGATCTGTGTGAAAGTACATGCTTCTGGAATGCAGTAAAGCGGTATCAAAATGACAAGCAGTGCAATCAATACCTGCATCATCCACCTCGATGCCTGCTGACAGGACAAGAGGTACTAACTGACCCTGCTTTAAGCAGGGGTGCTGGACTAGACAACCTGCACAAGTCCCTTCCAACTTCAACTACCCAGTGAAAACCAAACCGGGCATGCATGCTTTTGTCAGAGCAGACATCACCTGCCCTGCTTCCACCCCTCAGCACTACATCATGCCAGAAACAGACAGGTCAGCAGAGTCTTCCAGTACCCTCTGTCCACATTACTAATTTTGCATGTTTGCGTCCCTCCTGTAGGTTTCAGAGGTCCCTGACTACGGCATTAGTGAAGTACACATTAGTGCTGTACCATCTACAAGCAAGATCCACCCCCTTGCAATACTTTACCCACATTTACCCCCTGCAGATCACTGTTCGGCTCTGGAGGTGGAACAACAGCATCATTAGTGTTAATTATAGGGACAATATTCATTCTTAAAAGCTCATGCAATGTTCCATTTAAGTTCCGACGTTTCTGTTCATCATGGAAATCCAGGTTGGTGACTAAAATCTAAAAGGAGGAAAAAAAAATTAACAGATTCTTAGCCTACCACTTTTCCTGAGAACACCACCATAACTGTGTGTATTAACATAACAGATCACTCATACCCTTTGGGTCCCTGCAGAAATATAAGCCACATTTAAAAGATAAAGAATACAAGTAAGAAATATTCCTTCCACAACATTTTCAAGTTTACTTACCTTAACTTCCACTGGAGCCTATAACGGCCTTTCTCAAGCTGACAGATCACAGACTCCAGGAATCAAATTGGAAAAAAACCCATAAGCAGAACACAGATGCTGATGATAACTGCTAAGACCCTCAACAATTGAACAGATTACTCAAGACACGGCCTTTCTGGTTTTCCCTCCCAGTGTAACGTTTCTGCTGTCACAAGAAGAAGAGATGCTTTGTCTCAAGACTTCTCTTCAGCTCTAGAACTCACTTGCTTTTCTGAAAGAACCTTGGTCTCAAAGCCTCCTGCATGCAAACACCATCCCTTTCTTTTTGGTATTTTAAGACAAAAAAACCTCAATGTCTGCTCTAAAGAGACTTTTTTCTCATTTTTACTCTGGCACTGGACATTTGAAAACTAAGCAAAGAACTCCATCACACAAATGTTACAATAGCACTTAAAATCAACGGGTACACTGACTTTTTTGGCACGAGCAATTAATTATTTTAAATCAACGGCATCATAGTTGTCTACAGACTTGAACAAGATCATAATCCAGTGCAACCTATAGTGATTGTTAGCTATACTGTAAACTCTTTAGTGATATTAGCTATACTGTATTACAGGAAGAAGTTCCTCCAAGTGAGACTTCATACTGGCCTCCTAAATTCATTAGAAGTGTCTAAACAAATACGGCCTTGCAGTCGATGCAATTCTGTATTCTCAGAGTACTTAAAGTAAGCAAAGCCTGTTCAAGACTGTTCAATTAATACAGTTGCAGCATTCGGTGTAAGTAGAAGACCCAGGCTAAAGATGCCATTGTGCACAAGTTAGAGAGGTTTGAGGAGCGGATGGACAGCAAGTTCTGAAGTGTGGATATGCACTTCTGTCAGCTGCACAGAACGTGTGTCAGTTCAGCCACTTGTGATGTTTAAGGGGACCTTAACAGACCCTGCCCCTTACGTAAGGGCAAGACACACATGAACTCCAAAAAGGAAAAGCTCATTTGCTCCACCTTGACAATAAGTAACTCCATTTCAGAAATACACAGCAAGGCACTCCCGCATAAACTGCCATTTATGCTACAATAATAAGCCCTAAAAGTAGGATGGCAGTGGAAATACAAGACCACAGGTAGAGGTAGCGGCATAAAAACCATAGAAATAATCCACGAACAATTCTGTCACTGACTGAAGTAGCAAGTCAGTCCAGCAAAGAAGGAATCCTGTACCTGAGCTGCACAGATGCTGTACTGCGTAAACATGGCCTCATACAGAGCCATTAGCCCGCTCTGGCCAGCTGCTGCACAGGCTCGGGCCTCCAGGACTGGAATAGCCTACAAAGATAAAGAACAGCATCAGGCAGTGACTTGATCAGGTGCCACCCAACACTCCAGGAAAAGCGGGACTGCAGCCAGCCACTCACCATATCTTTTAGCTGACTCTGGCCTGAATGAAGCGCTTGCCTCACACTCTGAGAAAGCAAGATCTCGTGACGCAACCGCTGCTTTCCAAAAGCTACGGCACCACTGGTGACAATCATCATCTCTCGGCCCTGATTTTGCAGCATTGACACCTGTAAGCACAGAACATAAGGAACAGAGCCTGGAGTATGATCCCTGCTAGCACGACAGTTCTGGTTCTCACAGATAACCTCATGCTCACCAGTTCTCGCTGACACAAGTGTTTTGCTTTATGCATGGATGTGCAAAGCAAGGCAACCACACTCTAAGATACTCCTGCACACCTTCCTAGCCACTTAGGAGCTACACAAAGGACTGCATGCAATCTATAGCTTCTGCTAAACTTTATTTTCACAATACCAGTTTTTATGACAGAGTCATGCTTGAATTTTCACAATACATATTACATGGTAACACTTCTACACCCCCTGCCCTTCTAGCTCCATTGCTACAGATAATGAAAGATATGAAAAAGCCGTAAAGTAGCAGCTGTACCTTCCACCAACCTTCTCATTCACCTTCCATTCCCAAAGCTGCCATTATACAGTAACGTTGTATTCTAGAAGTGAAGCAGCTAACTCTGACAGTACAGCTTTTTATTACTTCTTCCTTACATGCATCTGTCCAGACTCCTTTCAAAGTTCTAAAGCTTAACATCATGAATTTATTATGTTAGCTTTACTTCCCGGAAAAGACATACCTAATCCCCCCCAAAGTCATAATTTCATTTTGGAGAACCAACCCATGAGCTGATCCCATCAGCTTTTCCTGCAAGTAATGAGGTTTCAAGCTTTCTCCTGGAGGAAAACTGGAAATGCTCTGGAAATCAAGAAGGGTCTACTCTTTCTGCAGACTTCACAAACTTCAGTGCCACCTTCCCACTAGATCTAACTGATGTCCCAATTGTGCCTTACTACCGCATAAAAATCTCACTGTGCAAATCTCTCCCTCTATACTGGGTCTGGACGAGAGGGAGTTAACTTTCTTCACAGGGGCCCATATGGTGCTGTGTTTTGGATTTCAGGACTAAACAGTGTTGGTAACATTCCGACGTTCTGCCTATCGCACAGCATCGAAGCCTTCTCTTTTTCCCACGATGAGCAGTACTTGCACAGCATCAAAGCTTTCTTTTTCCCACTATGTCCCATCACAGCAGGTAGACTAGGGGCTGGGCAAGAAGTTCAGAGAGGACACATTTGGGACAGCTGGCATGAAAGGGACATTCCATACCGTGTAACGCCATGCTCAGTAATAAAACTGAGGTAGCAGAATAGGAAAGGGCAGGGCGTTGTCTTCCAAGGTGGCCGTCACCTTGGGACTAGCTGGGCATCGGTCTGCTTGTGCAAGGTTGTGAGTGATTGCCTCAGCATCACTTGTTTCTTTTCTTCTTTCCTTCCCTTATTAAACTGTTGTTACTTCACCCCATGAGTTTTCTTACTTTTGCTCTTACTATTTTCTTCCCAATCCAGCTGGTGGTGGAGAGGAGGCATGGGGCGCGAACAAGCATCTGCATGGGTGTCTAGCTGCTTCTCAGGGTCAACCCACCACACCTTCAAACACCAATTTACCGAGTTACATGGTTTACGCTACCACAGCACAGAGGGATGAAAGCAGGAAAGGCCAACATATTGTTTTTAAAGGGCCATCACCGTTTTATGAGTTTTTCCTACAATCTTCTGTGCCATCCAACAATCACCGAGTATCTGAGGTTAAAACAAACATTCCACTGCAGTCACAGAATTACCTGCTCTACAATAGACGCCAGCCTCCCGAGGGCCAAGCCACACTCATCCCCACGAGTCACAACAGCACTGCCCAGCTTCACCACAATCCGCTTTGCATGCTTCAGCTCACTGCGGTGCGCAAACGATTTTCCATGGGCACGGCTGAGTGGCATGGTGATAAACGGGATGTTGCTCCAACAACGGATGGATTCATTCCTTAATCTTTGGCTATGGTGAGGAAGATCTGTGGTTAAAGAAAGAACAGAAAAAAAATGCAGTTTTAAGTGTTTTGTTCAGACTTTAAGCCCTTGAAGTCATGTAACATTTCCTCCCTTTCCAAGGCTAAAGCTCACAATACACACTTCTCCGTGACTAGGAACAAGAAGCTAGCTTTCAAGTCACCAAAATAAAGTGAGAACCAATACTATATGAGTAGCATTAACCATCCCTAAGGTATATAAGGCAATATCCCATGTGTCACAGAGCTTTGACTCTGGGAACCTAGAAGACCAAACTGAAGGCCACTGTCAAAAAGCCCATACACCTCACATCAGAAGTCCTACTTTTAAAAACAATCTCCTTTGCCTTGCCTCTGTAGATACAGCTAGAGAGTTTTCCTGTCCGCACTAGCGCAGAGAGCCTGACTGTGAGGAAAGAAAAGAAACGCAGCTTTTACAACATCTCTAAGTCGGGTATTTTTGCACATTGCTCAACTAGGGGCAGCAGAAGGGGGATGACGGACATACGGACTAGAAGTCACCTTCCTAGAGGACAAATAGGTGTTGGAGGGAGAAGGGACAGTCACAGCATTACTCAGGAAAGATACAAGATACATAAGGCTGGCACTTCACCCACGACAGTGAGCTAGGCAACACTTCTCAGCAAAATCTTTGTTTTCAAAATGCCTGCAAAGGGGAGGGGGGGGGGACGTGCTGATCTCTTTTTCCCTGGGGTCCAGGGACAGGATGCCCGGGAAGAGCTCAAAGCTGCATCAGGGGAGGTTCAGATGGGACATGACGAAACATTTCTTTACCCAGAGGGTGTTCAAACCCTGGAACAGGCTTCCTGGAGAGGTGGTCGATGCCCCAAGCCTGTCTGTGTGCAAGAGGCATTTGGACAATGCCCTTCACAACATGTTTTAGTGGTCAGGCAGCTGGACTAGACGATGTCGTAGGTCCCTTCCACCTGAATTATTCTATCCTAATCAATCCAAACCAATATGTCATCTGAAGATGCAGAGGTTTCTTTATAAAGGAGTAAACTAAATCCTATGCCATGATCAGAGTTATCTGATTTTACTTAATCTGTTCAATCTCTCTAATTTTGATGCTCTATAATACAAAACAGATTAATTTATAACCTAAAGTGACTATTCTGAGTGTTACTTTTGCTGGAGAAAGACAGGAACAAACAGTGCTACAGAAAAGAGAAACTCATAATTTAACAAAGTTTTAAATAAATGAATCTTTTGTTCATTATACACACAGAAGCAGCTTAAATGATTAATTGTAACTGAGGGCTGCACTAACATGTCACACATACAAATGCAGAAAATGAAATCTGGAAATGAATTTTCATTTGCCGCGCATTTTCACAAGGGAATACTTGTGAACGTAAATAAGGCCCACAATACGTATGAAAGAGTAAGTGAAGGAGTCCAATTTCACTGCTCTTTCCAGCATTATACATCACTATATAGTATTTGCCTATCCCACACGGTATGACCAGAAAGGAATAAAACCAATTTATTTCCAATTCTCTTGGCTATAGCTTCACGGTTTAGAAGGTTCCAAGAAGGCAGCTGTTAAGGGATAACCAGTATCTAAAAAGAAACCACTTATTTTTTTCAGAAAAACACGGAATGAGACAACAGTTCTAGAACAAGCGGAGAATTTCATTCATCTCCACTGAACTCCTAATTGCTAACCTTGCTCTATGACTGCATAAGTTTATCTTTTTTAGTTCCTTTAGACTGGACTGAGACGTGAAACCAGCTCCCACGTTACATATGCAAAACACTTCTAGTGATGCAGGCCCATTAACTTGCTTCATATGCAATGGGGGAGAATTCCATACAGCCATCCAGCCAACTTTTTGGACAAATAGGTTTCTAGGCACTCCGGCTTTTATATCCAATACCTTGTGAACCGTTTCACTTCCTTAATAAAGAAAGGGAAACATATGAAAAAGACTTCAATTATCTGGCACTGCAGATCCTCTTATGCAATCTGCATGAGGCTTGCTTCTCAGGAGTAAAGAAGCAGAATTTCAAAATAAACACAAGCTGAACAGCATCACAACAGAAACAGTGGAGAAGAAAACCATGATAAATGCTGAATCCAGCTCTAGAATGCAACTGATGCAAGTAACCAAAGTTCCTCCAACACTGAATACTGACTACTGTCAATAGCAAAGAATAATTTTCACAGTGTTAGCTATGAGTAGTTTACTGACTTTGGAAAATGTGGAATATTTAGAAATACTACAAATGAACGCAGAAGTCAACAGAGCTATATCTCAGAAAAAGAAACCCCAAGTTTAGCATTTTCAAGATTTCAACATTTATTACTTCACATAAATATCAACAAAAGAGAACTGTTAACAGTTGGACCAATGGGAAATTAATCTTGCATGCAACAGTAAACAGCTAATCCCTTGATCTAATAGAGTCTATCTATCCTTGTCCTCTCTATTTCAGACCACTAATCAAATAGACAGTGAATGGTTCTTTTAAGTCAGGTTTTCAGGGAACAACTATCTACAGGGCACCTATGTATTTACACTCAGGTTTCCTGCAAGCATCTTTCCACTTCTATCTCATCTGAATAAATTTGGGCTTCACACCTTGCTTTACTCAAGACATCTGTGGACTGAAAATGCAGATGGGTGAGCATCTGCATGGGTACCATGCCAGGAATGTATGACGTCAAAATAAAGAACTTTTACAGTAGCAGTACTTTGACAACTGATTTTTTTGCTTAAAATGCATGTCAGAATGAAAAATACACCCTTCTCAGACATCCAGCTGACTGAGTTAAGGGAAAAAGTAACATTACAAAAGTAGAGCTTCAACTGCAGCTCACTCCAGAGTTTGCCAGTTTGGAATTATGTTAACGAGGCGATTTTCCTTTCAACATAGGAGAGAGCATAGGCATGCCCAGACACATACTGACCAACATTATTAGAAACATGTGCTTTCTCCCATACATACATAAACGAGAGATGGCTGCGATGGCATGTGGCGATAACACAAAGCACCATCCAGAGGAACGGACAAGCGGGCTCAGAGCAGCTCGACACAACATTTTGAGATGCCTTCTGCAAATCCAGAATAGCTGTAAGTCGAAAGGAAGGAAGGAGGAGGGAAAACTGGTTAAATATCAGTGAATGTCCATCCATATTTCTCTCCTCACCCACCCCCCTCCCAAACTCCTCTTCGTCCTGTACAGTCTTAACGTAATTTCCACGTGCAGGAGTCAGGCAGCCCGCTCTTTCCATTTTGCAGAATTCTCAGACTGTGACTTAGAAGAACTGAAGGCCCCTACTCCCTTCCTGCTGGCAGAAGATCATTATCAAAGATCAAGAACAAAACACGGTTCCCCAAGAAGGGAAAAAGACTGTTAGTGAGTCTCCCTACAATGGAGAAAAGTCATAACTTTGTCCACAGAAAAGCCTGGAAGAAAAAAAAAAAAATATGTAGAAAGGTTGCGCCATCCAGACTTCTCTGTACACCCCACAACAGAGCATCTACTATACTTGTCATGAATCTCAGCCCTATTCAATACAGAAGATATGCCGATACGCTTTTCCCTGAATACTACCAAATGACAAGACGTTAACCATGATTACAAGTAAGAACACCAATTTCCAAGGTATTTGGCACTAGTTTCCCTTGATTGAACTTGTACACGCTCAGGATTCCTTTGACTCAACATCCACTAGAGCGAGTACCCAGCAAACAAGGGATACACAATTATCAATTTTCTATGACAGCTCTAGTAGAAGTAATGCATCTAGTATCACACAGAGATGACAAGGAGAGCCCATGGTAACTGCACTGGAGGACTCCTGTTACCAACGCCACGACTATCATAGCACCTGGCAGTTCTGGCACACGTGTACATGAGCACTTCAAGTAGCTTCATTATCTTACATCAGCATACTGTTATTATACCTCATCATAACCCTTACCAAAATACACACCTCTGTGTATGACAAGGCAGCCGCCAGCAGATAACGGTTCTCCTATTTTGTCTAGTAAAGATTACACAGCATGGCATGTTAGCGATATTAACCTGCAACGTCCCTTGGTTCTGTACTTCATCTGAAACCGCAGCCTTGACTGATGGCCAGGAGGAGGCAGATGAAGGACCCAGAGCAGATGATACAACAGAGCAAGCAGTTCAAGCTTTCTTCTCATAACAGGGCAAGCTTAAAGGAGCTGGTGACCAGTACCAACGAGACATTCCCTCTCTGAACATTACCAGGCATCTCATGCACCTGCCTCTGGGGGCACAACAATTCTCACCATTCACATCTCTGGCTCTTTGACCCATCCACTTTGAGGTTCACCCTGGCATCTACTGTCAGCCATCATCTTCCCAGCAGGGTCTTAGTTGTGTCTTAGAGAGATGTCCTCAGAGAGGAGTCCAGCAGCTCCTAACAACACGAACTGGCCAACAACAGGTCCTTTATCCAGAACCCCTGCCACCACAGCTATCCTGAGAGGAGCTGCCTGTTCCTCTTCAGCTCCCTCCAGGAACAGAACCAGGCACTCTACCTGACGTTTCACCCCCCAACCTCTCCCGTCAGGCCTTCGACTCCCAGTACAGGAATAACCTTCTCCTGGTGCGGCACTGTCACCAGAACACAGACCCACGCTACCTGGATCCAGCTGTGCTGTCTCCTTGGCTGTTCCCGAGAAACACTTCACATCCTCACAGCAGGGCTGCTTGCAACAAGAGCAACCTTGTCCTTCTGGGAAGACTGCCTCCGGCTTCCCTTTGCCAGAGACAGCTTCGCTAAGAGCGAGCAGACAGTGAGGAGAGAGACGGGGCAGACAGCTTGGATCTTTGGAAGGAAAAAGATTAGAATGAAACAGCATGTTTTTGAAACTAGCTTGTGACAAAAGGCAAGGAGACTAAGTTAACAAGAAGACAGAAACAGAAATTTTAAAGCAGCAGTAGACATCAAGAAAAGAAAAAGAGGTAAGTGAAACAGGAATGGTGCTGTCAGAAAGCACAGAGCACAGGGCATACTGTAAGTTACAAGCTTGCTTTCAGGCCAGTCCAAGGCTGCAGAACAACTCCTTCCTCTCCTATCACTCAATCAAGGATTTAAAGTTAATTTCAATCCTCATTTTCCATTCCACTCCCATTTCCACCATTTCCATATCTGGAATGGTTCTGGTCTTCAGTAACAAAGCAAAAAAAGGCACATAATAAAAAAAAATTTAAAAAAACCTGCCTTACTTGGAGGGGAGGGAGAAATAAATCACTCGGATATTTCTCCAAAACTCTAGCATCAGCTTAAACATCTTTTTCATTACCAAGAAAACCTACTCCTTCCAAACTAGTCTCCAAATTTGACTTTTAAAAATATAATTTTCCCATAATCTCTTTAAATTTATAAACATTATATTTATATTATTTCTCATAGAAAGCAATACTATTGGCTAGTTTTAATAGATTTATTATCTTCATAACAGCTGTTAAGCAGCACAGTACATTTAGATTCTGTTTCCAGATCAGTGTCACTTAGTCACCCTCCTAAGAGGTCAGAGGTCTCAAATCCTAAAAATGGTGCCTTTAGCAATCACAACAATCTGTAACCCAGATTTTTCAGTCTGTTGGCTGCAGGCTCCTGGGATGTCTACAACTATTTGCAGTGAGTTAGTAAAATAAAAATAAATAATTTTTTTCCTCACAGTTTTATATATAAAGGCAAACATCTCAATTAAGTGTTAGGACATTCCAAAAGTGAAAAAAACATTGAAGCCAAAGTATAGCTCTTTCCTACACTATACTATAGCAACTAAGGAGAGATAAATCAAGTTCCAAGGAAATGTGCACAATTTTGAAGAAGAAAGTCTTTACCTTAACAGAAATAAGCCCTCTGTAATATTCAGGTGGTTTTGTTATTTAAACATCTTTGTTACCTTACCACCTAAAACTTTTGTAAGGAAAAAAAAAATCAGCAACTCTTAGTGCAAACTCAAAACCAATAAACCTTTCCAGAGAGAAGCCAGTTCAGAAGAACTGACTGAAATAAAGAAAAGCTTCAAACAAATTGTCTTTGGAACAGATCGCAAATAGCTTTGCCCAGTTTCTACAGAAGTTACACACACAGAGAACAGGCAATTCAAAGCAACACGTACCATGCAATTCTTTTCTACCAAGAATCCATTCCAGCAGGACAGCGTGGTCACGGCAGTCTACATCTCTTGGCACTGCCTCGTGCAGCAGAATAAAACTCTGCCCCTGGCCTGTCGGAACTGTTCTCAGGATCAGTGAATACTTTCAGTCTGAGCATCTCAACAGCTAGCACCTGCGGCAGGTCAGTGATGTTCCATTCTGCCGCAGCTCGTCTATCAGCCAGTGAAGCAGCACCAACAGGGCTGTGCAGCAGCAGCCCGGGGACAGGAGCAGGACCCCCGGCTGCCCACCCCGGCACAGGCAAGCTGAGGGCCCAGCGGTTCACACCCGCAGCAAGCAGCAGAGCCGCTCCAGCACCGACAGGAAGCTTTGCCCAACACGGCGGCAGACAAATCGCTTGTTGCACGTATACCAGTGGCACCGACAGGCGCCACGCCTTGCCCAAGCACTTGGACCCACCAGAACCTCCGTACCGGACCCCTCCTGCAGACACTGCGGCACGGATGTCCAGGAGAAGCAGAACCTGTGGAAGGCAATGGAGTGGGCAGGCCACAGAGCCAGGCCCAGCCGAGCTGCCGCAGCCAATCCCCAGCCCCTGGCAGCAGCCGCCACATCAGCGCTGGAGCCGCTGACGTAACATCGTAACATCGCACAGCCAGCGCGGCTCTATCCCTCCCGCCAGCACACACACCTTCCATCCTGCTGTCCCAGCAGATGATGTAACTCTGCTCCACGTTGCAGCACAAAATCCAGGGCTTTGCAAGTTACAGCGTTAACAACTGTTTTCTGTCTCGTCCCAGCCTAGTCCAGACAGCCCTGCCCACAGCCCAGCCGCCTCCTGAACCCAGCTCCCTTGACCTTGACTCTCCCTGTTCTCAGATGTTTGCAGTTTGAGGCAGAGGGCAGATGAAAGGCATCTGTAGCAGAACTTCTGAGAGTGGCTTCACCTCCTCAGGCCCTTTACCTCCTTTGTTTTCTCCGCTGTAGCCCAAACCCCTCTACGAGGGCAAGAGTGCTGCCTTTGCTCCTCACTTTTCTCCCATATCCCATCTGTATTCATTTCTAAATTAAGAGAATCATAGAATCATCTAGGTTAAAAAAGACCCTTAAGATCATGGGTCCCACAGTTAAGCCAGCGCTGCCCAGCCCACCACCACACCA